TTAAACGGTGTCTTATCTCTCTTCTTTTTTTTTTTTAAATAAAAAATAGATTTTATTCTCCTTCTTAATTAATAGATCGTCGTTTTTGTCAAACACATTGTCGTTTGCAACTATAATATTTTTTCTGCATTTATTCCTATTATTTTGTTTTCTTTGAAGGGTAGCTTAAAATTGAAGCTACTAGAAAAACCAGTCTCGAATAGTAACGGTTACATTTTTTTGCTAGAATTGGTGGTAACAATAATTAACTTATTAAGGGCACCTATTCGAATTTAATATTTAAATTTTATTACACTAAAAAATTTTAAAAAATAATTGTATTTATTTTTTTTATTATAATAAAAATTTATTACATAAAATCTTAAATTAAAAAATCGAACAAACAAACTATAAACGAACGGACCCTAATATATACGTCGACAGTTGAAAAAGACGGAAAATAAAACAGAGACAACTCAATGAAGGGTGAAAAGGGAACTTTGTATAAATAGACTAAGTAAAATGTGTTTTTAAGTAAATAAACCATCAAAAAAATAAATTAGGTAAATAACCCAACTTCCACGTCAGCATTCCACGTCATCAATTATGCTTTTAGGGTTTTCTTTCTCCTCATCCTCTTCCATTTCGCGCCATTTTGTTCTCCCAGCCGCCTTCAATTTCTCCTCTCTTCTTCTCAAGTCATCGTCGTCGCATAACCTCATTAATATTATTATCTTGCCCATTCAGTGTTTTTTTCTCGTCCAAAACGAAGTTTGAAGAAGAGCTACTAAGTAAGTCTTTCATTTTCTATATCTCTCATGGTGTTTTTCGTTGTTGTTCATATGTTTTTAAGATGAGAATGTAGTTAAAAATCCATTAAAATAGTAATTTTACATGTTAAAAGACTAGTTTATATTGTCTGATATGATGAAGATCAGGTTTAGAAAAAAAAAAGATTTGTTCTTGGTCAGTTCGTGGTCAGTTCTTGGTCTGTTCTTATAACATGGTCGGTTCTTGATCTGTTCTTGGTCTGTTCTTATAACATGGTCAGTTCTTGGTCAGTTCTTGGTCTGTTCTTAGTCTGTTCTTATAACATGGCCGGTTCGTGGTCTGTTCTTGGTCTGTTCTTGGTCTGTTCTTAGTCTGTTCTTATAACATGGCCAGTTCGTGGTCTGTTCTTGGTCTGTTCTTATAACATGGTCGGTTCTAGTATGTTCATGGTCTGTTCTTGGTCTGTTCTTATTGCACGGTCAGTTTTTAGTCTGTTCTTATTGCACAGTCGGTTCTTAGTCTGTTCTTGGTCCGTTCTTGGGTTGTTCTTATTATATAGTTTGTTCTTGGTCTGTTCTCATTATATGGCATGTTCTTAGTTTGGTCGTGGGATATTTGGTTTGGTTTAATGACATATTATTATCTTGATTAAATTTTTGCAGTTTTAAAATCTAAATAATGGCTCAGTGGAGGATTTTTTTTGACATAGGAGGACAATGGGATGAGACTGAAAGTTGTTGGGTGTGGCATACAGATTGTAATTTAATTGGCATATATATGGATGAGAAGGATACTCTCGAAACCTTCGTTGATAAGATTTGTAGAAAATGCAGAATTGATGGACAAAAACATTCTTTGCAGCTATCATGGGTACCGAATTTGAAACAGAAATCGTTGCCCGTTGTAATAAAAGACAATGATGATTTGTTATTCTTCAGGGATATAGCCCACGAGGTACCGCTACACGTGATAGTGGATGGGGAGTTTATGAATCCCGAAAAACATATTGATGGAGTCAAAATTAGGAGAAATCCTTTGCATGATGATTTTTTTGATCGTGATTTTATGGGTAATGTAGCTACAGATGAGTTTTCGGCTCATAATGATATTCCACTACAATCACAACCACAACCAGAGTCACAGCCACAGCTAGAGCCACAACCGCTTACCATTTTAAATGAAGTAGAAGTTGCTGGTCCTTTAGTTTGTATGGACAAGACTGAGTTTGGATCATCTCATGGATCTACCTTCAGTGACGGATCTAGGTTAGAAGTTGGTCAGTACTTTACAAGTAAGAATGATTTGAAGGAAAAGCTGCATTTAATAGCTTTGAAAGGGAAGTTTGAGTTTCGAACAACAAAATCAAATAAAGACGTGCTTGTAGTAGAGTGTGTGGATCCGAAATGTGTGTGGCGTATCCGAGCCTGCAAACTGAGACTGTCGAACATGTTTGTAATCCGTAAGTATAATGGCGTTCTCTCTTGCTCGTTAGAAAAGCGTTCAGTGAAGCACAGGCAAGCAACGTACTCCGTTATTGGAAGTTGCATGAAAAACTAATTTATAGGCGTGAAACAGGGTCCGGTTCCGAAATCAATTCAGAAATATGCCCGTGACGAATTCGGGACGGACTTCAGTTATTACAAAGGATGGAAGGCTTGTGAGCATGCACTTCAACTCGTAAGAGGTACGGCTGTAGAAAGCTTCACTAAGCTCCCATCATACTTTCATATGGTGTCTCTTACTAATCACGATAATATCACCAATATTCATTTTGATGAACAGAACCGTTTTATCTATCTTTTCCTAGCATATGGACCTTGTATACGAGGTTTTGGTTGCATGAGGAAAGTTATCAGTGTTGATGGAACGTGGTTGAAGGGAAAATTCAGAGGTACGTTGTTAGTTGCCACTGCACAGGATAGTGAACGTCATTGTTATCCCATCGCATGGGCCATTGTAGACTCAGAGAATGATGCATCCTGGACATGGTTCTTCTCGAACTTGAAGGTGATTATCACTGATTCTGAGGAATTAGTTTTTATTTCTGATAGGAATCAAAGTATAAGTAATGCATTGTCTACAGTTTATTCATTAGCACATCACGGTTGTTGCACATGGCATGTGTCTCAAAACATCAAGAGTAATTTCAGATGTAGCGGTGTTCTGCCATTGTTCTTTAAAACCGCTGAGGCCTACCGCATTGACGAGTTTTCTGTCTTGTTTGATGAGTTGTCTGCAAGATATCCCAGTATTGCTAGATACCTACAGGAGCAAGTTCGTTTTGAAATGTGGTCTCGTGCTCATTTTAAAGCAGGCGGGTCGAAGTTTCTAAAACTAAAACATTATTAACGCCAAGTGTGGAAAAAACTCTTCGTGAGAGGCACAACAAAGCGGGATTTCTAACGGCCACAAGACTTAATACTGTTGAGTTCCAAGTGACAGGTGGAGAGGCCACTGCAATTGTTAACATTGGAGCAAGGAGTTGCACTTGTCGTGTGTTCGACCTTGAGCAGATACCATGCGAGCATGCAATATCATGTTGTAGAGAAGTAGGAATGTCACTCTATGATTTATGCTCAAAATACTACAGGACAGAAGTTTGGGCTCTTGCGTATGCTGAGACAATCTATCTTGTGTCGGATACTTCGCAATGGGATATTCTGAATCACGTAAAGGAAGTTCACCTTCTTCCACTGCGAGTTGTACCAAAGAGGGGTAGGCCGAAGCAAAAACGCATTCCCAGCATAGGTGAGTTCACACGAAGACAGAATCGATGTGCTAGGTGTGGGCAATATGGACACTATTAGAAGAAATGTAAGAACGCACCGATGTAATCATAACTTATAAATTTTGGTGTTACAATGTATTTACACTTATTATATTCAACGGGTTGTAAAATGTATTCAGCAGGTTATTATGGCTTTGGGGAAGCTTATATTTATGGGGAAATGCTGCCCAAATTTTTACACAATAATATATATACGGTGGCAAGGGCGCGCGCGCGCGGGGTGGCACTGGCGACCAGAACTGACTAATATAGAAAACAGACCATAACCGACCAACCAAGCAAGAACCGACCAAAACAGACCAAGAACAGACACTTGTAAAAAATTAGAAAACATACATTTTTTCATATTTTTTATACTTTTTGGGTATTAATAAACATTGTAGTTTATAAAAGTGAAAAAAAAATTGGTTAGAAATGAGAAAACCTAGAACAGACCAAGAACAGACCAAGAACAAACCAAGAACAGACTCTTGTAAAAAATTAGAAAACATACATTTTTTCATACTTTTTAGACTTTTGGTCTGTTCTTGGTTTTCTCATTTCTAACAAGAACTGACTGAACCGACCATGACCCAACCGAACCGACCCAAAATCCCCGCAGAACCGACCAAACAGACAGAACCGACCAAAACCGACCTGAATCGACCAAGAACCGACTCTGAACTGACCACCAACCGACCACGAACCGACTTCACCTAGAACCGACCAAAACCGACCCCTCTCGACAAGAACCGAGTAAGAACCGACCACCAAAAACGACTTAAAACCGACCTAGAACCGACTGAGAACAGACCAGAACCAAAACCGACTAAGAACCGACTATGAACAGACCAATGTTGCTTATATTAAGTTTTTGTTCTTGCAAAAATATATAAGAAAAAGTAAAACAAGAATATTACCTCAGCAGATTCCGTTGCCTCGTCGACAACTGTTCAGAAAATGGCCGTTTTAGTTGAGGAAGAAGAGCTGGTTTTTGATGCCATTTTAGTCGGATTTTGGTGAGTAGGTGGTCAGTTTTTGTGGTCGGGAATTTGGTGAGTGGTCGGAGTCGGTTTTTGGTCAGTTTTAGTGGGAAGAGAGTCAATTTTTGATGAACGGTCGGTGTTGGTGAGGTGGTCGGTCGGCCGAGACGAGAGAGATCGGAGAGTGGATCGAAGAGAGAAAGAGAGAAATAGGTGAGAGGAAAGCCGGCGGTCAGTCGTGAGGTTGGTGACTGATCGGAGAGAAAAGCCGGCGGTCGGCGAGAGGTGATCGGAGAGAAAAACCGGTGGTCAGTCGTGAGAGAGCTCAGTCGGGAGAGAGAGGGTCGAGCGGTCGGTTTCGGGGGGAAGAGAGGGTCGAGCGGCGGTCGGTTTTGTGAGGAATGAGATTTTTGAAAATGACCTAAGACTAATAAAACCCATTTTTTATCACATAAAATATACGTCATCATTTTTTTGTTATAAAAAAAAACTGGTCTATTTCTTCAAATTCTGATTTGCTCCGGTCTCTTTTATCAAATTTTCTCGGGTGAAAATTGCAATTGAATTGAACTACCAGTCTAACCCCAAATTCCGTAATCTTGCCCGGCAAGAATTTCAACGGTCTCGGAGATCCTCCATAGCCAGATTCTCGAGAGAAGATCAAGAGAATGATATCCGACGGAATCGACGACGACGAGAAATGGCTTGCCGAAGGCATCGCCGGCATTCAACACCACGCTTTCTACTTGCATCGCGCTCTGGTACTTCTTCTTTTCCCTCTTCGATTTCCCAATTCAATCAATTTCACATTCTCTCTCAAAACCCTAATTCTTTTGATTCGAGCTTCGTTTTTTTTTCTCAGGATGCGAACAATCTTAGGGAGGCACTGAAATTCTCCGCTCTGATGCTATCGGAGCTCCGAACCTCGAAGCTTTCGCCTCAAAAATACTACGAACTCTGTAGAACTTCTGATCGCTCAATTGATCTCTTTAGACGATTCCCGTTCGTAATCCAAGGTTTGCTTATTGCGGCTTTTGTGTTTTCGTCGTCAGATATGCGAGCGTTCGACGAGTTGAGAATGCTGGAGATGTTTTTCAAGGATGAGAGCAGGCATGGCGTCTCGATCGTTGATCTTTACGAACTCGTGCAGCACGCTGGCAATATATTACCCAGAATGTAATTCATTTTGACCTCCACATGTTTTTTCTTTTATTGTTCCAAGACTTTTATTGTTCAGACGATAGATGTGAAGTTCACAAAATCACATTGCTCATCAATTGACAAGCCCGTATAGTTGTTAGCTGTACATGTTAAGCTCCGTTCTTGATGTACTAGGTATTTACTGTGTACGGTGGGATCTGTGTACATTAAATCCAAGGAGGCTCCTGCTAAGGATGTGCTTAAGGATCTTGTGGAAATGTGTCGTGGTGTTCAACATCCAATACGTGGGCTCTTTCTGAGAAGCTATCTTTGTCAAGTCAGCAGAGATAAGTTGCCTGATATTGGTTCCGAATACGAAGGGTAAGCTGGTTAGTTGGTTAGAAAGAAGCCCCTTGTTCCATTTGATTACTTTGTTGTTTGTATAGTCTTTTTGATATTGATAGCTAAAACATTAATTTGTAATACAAATTGTTGTATTGATACATGTCTAAGCTAAAAGAGAATAAATTTTGAGGCATGGAAGAGTAAGTATTGTTACCATTGTTATTATTAATATTGTGTTGTTGTTGTTGTTGTTATTTTTTTGGTGAAGATATGAGGTGACTTGTGTTAACTAATTATAATTATGCCACTACTTGCTTGCAGCGGTGATGATACCGTCATGGATGCTGTTGATTTTGTGCTGCAGAATTTCACAGAGATGAATAAGCTTTGGGTACGAATGCAGCAGCAGGTTCGTTTTGTATATGTTAATCTACGTCACACTTTTACATGCATAGCACCAGAGTACTTGCATGCCATGGAGATAAAAATGAACCACGAGGGCATGATTTTTGGCCATGCAGGTGTTATGGTGCTTGTGAATCATTCATACTCTTTGGCGATCCTGAGTTGAGGCCTTCAATTGGAATTTCTGGTCTGCAGGGACCTGGTGCGATAAAAGAGAAGATGGAAAAGGAAAGAAGCGAGCTTCGCGACCTTGTAATATTTTAAAGCTGAAACTATGAAGATATGAGAAGTGCTTAACACGTTTTGGCAGGGAAATCTTACCGTTCTGAATTGTCTTTGATAGGTAGGAAAAAATCTGCACGTTCTTGGTCAGATAGAGGGTGTGGACCTTGAAATGTACAAAAACACTGTTCTTCCTGGGATCTTAGAGCAGGTCTTATAAGCTAGCTTTTCTTCGTGTGTGTATTTATATGGCTAATCAAATTAGGCTTTCTGGTGATCTTTTGACGAATACATCCAAACTGGTTTGCTTGCAGGTCGTCAACTGTAAGGATGATATTGCTCAATTTTACTTGATGGAATGCATAATTCAGGTTTTCCCAGATGATTACCACTTGCAGACATTGGAGACATTGTTGGGTGCTTGCCCCCAGCTTCAGGTAAATACCATGTTTACGCTGAATGATTTTTCGGATTTTGAGTATCTAAAGGATCCTTCTTTTCGAAGCAAGAGGTGGGTGTCGAATTACAGCTATGCTATGCTTGCAATTACACTTTTTGAAGCAAGATGCATTGTTTTTTTTTTTTCATTTTCACTGAATCTCATAACTTTCAGTTTCTCAACTCAGCTCTGTATTCTTGTTGTATGTGTTGATCTTGATCTTGTCTTTTCTTTTTTGTTCTTGATAGGACTCGTTAATGATAGGCGTGGGAAGTTAGTTTGTTAGTAGAGGTTGTTAGAGTGTAACTGATTGGTAATAATTGTTTGTAGTTTGTAAGAAGGGGATTAGTATTATAAGAGGGAGATTAGGAGTGGGCGAGGGAGGATGGTCAGATTTGTGGAAAATTGTGGAAACCCTGGGAGAGTTGGTGGTCTTTCGAATACCACCATTGTTAGGGTTTGTTGGATTGTACTCAAATTCATCAATCTTCTTCAATAAAGATTCCTCTTTTTAGTTGATCTTTCTATGTTCTAGTTAGCGTCTTATCAATTCCTTTTCTCTTTTTTCTTCGTTTAAAACTATTTTGACTATGATATTACCTTGTTATGTAGCCGACAGTTGATACCAAGACAGTGTTATCTCAATTAATGGAGAGATTGTCAAATTATGCTGCAGCAAATGTAGAAGTAAGTAATTGATGGACTGTTTCATGGCTGATGCATTGATCTATTTGTACTTCTACATTTCGTTTAATGTGGCTGTTCTTACCTCAGGTATTACCTGAATTTTTGCAAGTGGAAGCTTTTACTAAATTAAGCACTGCCATTGGAAGGGTAAGCTGGCTATTTCCTTCAGCTAATTTGCATCAATTTTGTCTCCCAAAACGTAAAACTACAGCTTCTGTAATATCTCTTTTCAAGTCTTCCACAAGTTGGATTAAGAAGCTCAATGTAACTTTTAATTTGAAAAAAATAGTAAATTTATATGGGGAAAAAAGAAAATGATACAATTTTGTTAATGAGTTACAATAACCAGCGTAGCAGAAATTTTCTTTGCGGGGGACCTATAGGGTTACGATTTGCTCATTCATTTTCATTACTTAGTATGTATTTCTTTTCCACAAGTGTTGAATTTCTCTTTATTAAAGTATAAAACTATTGTTGGCCCACCTCCTAAAAGCTTAAGCTTTTGGGCTGGATTGGTAAACTAACATGGTATCAGAGCGGGAGGTCATGAGTTCAAACCCCCGTAATTGCACTCTTTATCCCCATTTAAAAATTGTCATGTGTTGGGTCTTTAATATATCTCGGGCTTAAATATTCACGTGTTGGGCTTTCCAATTAATTTACCCACACGATTGCCCATTGTCTAGCCCACACGCGAGGGGGAGTGTTAAAGTATAAAATTATTGTTGGCCCACCTCCTAATAGTTTAAGCTTTTGGGATGAATTGGTAAACTAACACTCTTATTGTAAGCTGATAGTAGATACGAATGTAGGTGATAGAAGCACAAGTTGACATGCCTATTGTTGGAGCTATATCATTGTATGTCTCTCTTCTTACATTCACTCTTCGTGTTCATCCTGATCATCTTGATTATGTTGATCATGTACTGGTAAGTTCATTAATCAAACTCATTTGTAAATTTCTCTAAAACATCACATGGTCCCAAGCTTCATTGCTCATTGTTGTGTTCAATCCGTTTTATAGGGAGCATGTGTGAAGAAGCTCTCTGGCAAGCCAAAGCTTGAAGATAAGAGAGCAACTAAACAAGTTGTTGCACTTCTAAGTGTTCCTTTAGAAAAATACAATGATACTGTCACAGCCTTGACACTTTCTAATTATCCCCGTGTTATGGATTATCTTGATGATGGAACAAATAAAGTCATGGCAATGGTTATTATCCAAAGCATAATGAAAAACAACACTTTTATCACCACTGCTGACAAGGTGTGCTTCTTATCTATCTGATCTAATTTGTCAACTTTTACCTTCGAAATGTCGTAAATATTCTCTTTGCAGGTTGAGGTGTTGTTTGCATTAATAAAAGGGCTCATCAAGGATCTGGATGGAACTTCTGTGGATGAGGTGCTTACAATAGGGATATTGTTTTTACCATACAAAGATTTGACTATTATAGATTCCTGTCGTAAATCTTCTACCCAGTCCATAATCTTTTTGACTTGATTTTCCTTTTCTTTTTCTTTCTCTTACCTGCTTTCGTTTTTCTTCTGCTATATCCTGCTACTTATAGCTTGATGAGGAGGATTTCAAAGAAGAACAAAATTCTGTTGCTCGTCTCATACATATGCTTTATAATGACGACCCAGAGGAGATGTTGAAGGTGAGCAATTGATGTTTCCAGATTTCTTACTCTATATCCTCTCTCTCTCTCTCTCTCTCAAAAGCCAAAACATGGAATTGTCTGACCCAAAAATGACACAAGGTTGTGGGTTTTTTATTTTTGGATAAATCTTCCTTTAATTATGATTTACCGGACGCAGATGATATGCACTGTGAAGAAGCATATAATGAGTGGAGGGCCCAGACGCTTACCTTTTACTATTCCTCCTCTTGTATTTTCTGCATTAAGGGTATGTATGTTTCTTGTTTCACATGGACCGCCCTTTCTTGTTTTCTTGTGTATACATTTTTCTATTTGATATAATATTGAGTGAAATTTAACACGACTTTGAACTGAGAAGAGCCAGGAGTGAGAATTTGACATCAGATGACTGTGACTTGTAATGACCTTGAGCCTTGTAGTGATATTAGACTGAGCATGTGCCCTGTTCATCCTGAGCATTGCTGGTCATTTATGTGTATTTCACAAAAATACGCTGGAGTTTCATTATTGATTACCTCATACGTTACATTATTCCCTTCAAGATTATACTAGTTTGAGGACTATTCAAAATGTTGTTTTTTACTTGCAGTTGATTAGGCGATTGCAAGGCCAGGATGGAGAGGTAGTGGGAGAAGAAGTGCCCACAACACCAAAAATAATCTTTCAGCTTTTAGATCAGGTAATTATTTATCTTTTTATCATTGTTGTTACAGACGGAGAATGTCTAATACCTTGGTTGAATAATGATAATATGGAGCGTATGTTCGCCCATCCTAATTTATAATTTGGAACAGTAATGAATTTGTGGGAGATGGTTCAAATTACCATCTTTGCACTTGCTTATGCTTTTCTTTGCAGAGTTGGCTTTTGCACCTATTTTATGGTTTAATCTGTTTAGCGAAACAATCTGAAATTTCCTTCTTTCTACTGCCTTCATCGTATTCTTGTATTCACTCACCCTCGGTTCTTCTATTTGGCAATGCTAGACAAAAGTCTTTCCTATGTCTTGTGCTTGTATCCTTACCTTCTTTATATGTGTGTTCAAATGTGCACATAATAATGATCTATTTAATTTCAGACCATTCAAGCTCTTTCTTGTGTTCCATCTCCTGAACTGGCATTAAGGCTGTACCTGCAGTGTGCCGAGGTATGTTATTTTTGATATTTGGAAAACATTCTGGGGAAATAAGGTTGGAACTAATATATTTGCTGAGTAAAATAGAAACATTTAGATAGAAGAGACATGATTTTCTTAATCTTTATGACATTGCATTTAGCGCTACAATATCTCTGTTTTGGTTTATGGATGATCAGGCTGCTAATGACTGTGATCTTGAGCCCGTAGCTTATGAATTTTTCACTCAGGCGTTTGTCTTATATGAAGAAGAAATTGCGGTAATTTTACACCTCAATCAAGCGTTTGTATCAATTTGTTCCATAGATTGTCCAGAAAAGTGACATTCGTCTGGCAACGAATCACATTACATGTTTGCTCCTTTCTTGTAGGACTCTAAAGCCCAGGTGACTGCCATACATTTAATAATTGGCACTCTCCAGCGGATGAATGTCTTTGGCATTGAGAATAGGGATACTTTAACACACAAGGCAACAGGGGTATAATGCTTTCTTGCATTATGTACTTTTTTAGACTGCTCTCAACTGTTTTAACTTGACTGATGATTTCCCTCTTGTCAGTATTCAGCAAAATTGTTGAAGAAACCTGATCAGTGTAGAGCAGTTTATGCTTGTTCACATCTTTTTTGGGTTGATGATCAGGATGGTATCAAAGATGGAGAAAGGTTCTCTTTCTTCTTAGTATTGAACTTTTCTTTTCACTATATACTACATGGATTTCTCGTCCATTATCTGTTCAAATAGTCATGTTGGCATGTTCTGCGTCATTTATGTGATTTTGTTTACAGGGTGTTGCTTTGTCTAAAGCGTTCCTTGAGGATTGCAAATGCTGCTCAGCAAATGGCCAGTGTTATTCGCGGTAGCAGTGGACCAGTGACACTCTTTGTTGAAATACTCAACAAGTCGGTAGTTTTGAGCTTGTACCTAATTGAACCTTGCACACACGACAACACACATGCTTCACTCATGTATTATTTTGTGGAATATACATCTGAATTGAGGGTTAACATTCACCAGGTACGTCTACTTTTTTGAGAAAGGTAATCCCCAGATCACCCCTGCTGCAATCCAGGGGCTGATAGAATTAATCAACAATGAGTTGCAAAGTGAGTCTACGATACAGATCTCGGATCCTTTCTTTGCAAGCACATTGCGATACATCCAGTTTCAAAAACAGAAAGGTGGAGTAATGGGTGAGAAATTGCTTCTATCAATGTTTGACTCCTAGTCGTTTGTGAAGTCCTAAAATGTTCTACAGCCACATTGTGTTTTGGTACTGAAGGGATTTGATTGGGAGGGGTTATATCCCCCTGCATTCTTCCATTGGAATTGGACACTTTTGTATAGCCATTTCACTTACGGTTATTTATTAATTTTATTAGAAAGAGGCTAGGACCATGTAGGTCTTCCGGAGGTCAGGCGAATGGTTCCTTTAGGTCTTTCCTTTTATGACAATGTAGGTCTATGAATATTTATATTTTGAAATAAAAATATAGGTCCATAAAAGTCACGGTTTCTTCATATCACATGCAGAACCTAGATGAGGATGATGATGGAACAATTTCTTTTCCAACCTTCCTTTAAAAAAAAAAAAAAATCCCCTTTTCAGCCTAAATAAGAGATGTTGAAGTGAGTTTCGAGATGTTATGGCAAGTGCCAAGTGATAATGTCTATCACATGCATCAAGCATGGAGAAAACCTTGAGAATACTATTTTGATGCTAAAAATGTGTGGTTACTTGGTGGCCACCAATGCCCTTGATCCTGAATCTGATCAATCCTTTCGTTACAATTGGTTCTCTTATAGTTCCCGCTTTCATGAAAGCTTTTATTTTGAAATAAAAAATGGGACCCACCAGATGGGTGGAGCCGGCGGTGGTCCCTTTGGCTTTACTATCACTGCCGAATGGCGCACTGAAAAATACCGTAGAATCTTGTTTTGTATTTTTTTTTAATAAAATAAAGAGAATTAAATATGAATTTAGTCTCTTTAGAGAGGATTTATTCCCAAGTTTTTTTTTTTTTTTTTTTTTTTTTTTTTTTTTTTTTTTTTTTTTTTAAATGTTATGCATATTAGGACACAGTGGTTAGGTTTTTGGAGTTGGTAAGAAATAAGAGAAAAAAAGCACATGGATATGAATGGTGATAGCTGATAGGTACTTAGGCCCCCCCATGTGCACTCTCACGTCTTGGATTGTGCTTAATTGCGCAATTAGCGGAATTATAATATACTACCAAAAGCTCTTGAATTATTCCGACAAATTCTATCTTGCTCATCACTCCACAAACGTTTTCTTTTTTGCAAAAGTTTTTTCTTTTTTATACTTACATTAAGAAATATTAATATATACTTTTTTATTTATATACTATAGAAATACACGCACCTTATCTTTTCTTTTTTCCTTCCTTTTCTTTTCCTTCTATCTCTCCTAAATAGAAATACACAATTATTGACAATTTCGTGGCACAGAAATTAGAACATATGGGAATATATGGGCCTGCCATAGTCATTCGCACGTCTAGAAGTTAAGTCTGTTAAACTAAAGAACATGACATCTAATTATAAGTAGGGTGGCCACGTTGTTCAGAGCCGAATGATACGAGTGGTTAATTTATTTTCTAGCGAGAAAAACAAATAAATAAATAAAAAAGAAATCATAGTATTGTTGATTTTGTATTGGACAGAAATAAAAATAATTCTATACAGTAAAATCACAAAAATAAAAAAAAATACGATGACACCATAATTTTGTAATTGAAAAAACAATTAACAAAAAAAAAAACACCATTGAGTTAAAGGGAAAAAGAAATCATAGTACTGTTGTTGAGTTGAGATAGTACATTGTTTTTGGATTGGACGGAATGAATAAGAATTCTATAAAGTAAAAATACAAAAAAAAAAAAAAGATGGCATCATAATTTTTTTTTTGAAAAATTAGATAAGAACAAAAAAATAAAAATGGAACAATTAATTAATTTCTTTTTGCTGAAAAAAATAAAAATATTTTTTGAGACAAAAAAGAAGTATTTGAATTTATGATATTGTGGTATATCCGTATATGTATGATATGGTGAGGGATTAAGGAAGTAAAGATATAGCTGGCAAAAGGTTGGCTTGGCGAGGTCAGCGAGCCCCTCAACCGCAATTTGATTCCTCCTTCTCAAAGGTCATCATCATATTCACCTTCATCTCTTTCCATTTCTATTCCATTTTCCGAATCTCTCTCTCTCTCTCTCTCTCTCTCTCTCTGCACCTGCATTCTAGGGCTAGGGCTTTGAAACTTCAACAGCATTTGCGATCTTCTTCTTCTTCCTCTTCTTCCTCTTCCTCTTCTTCATAATTTTATAGGGCTTTTTTTATGGAGTTTTTGGTGATCGTTTCTTGAGCATTTGTTGGTAGAGTGGAGATCTGGTGCTTCGAGGTTGGAGATGAGCGCATCGAGATTCATAAAGTGCGTCACGGTCGGTGATGGTGCTGTTGGCAAAACCTGTATGCTGATTTCGTATACCAGCAACACCTTCCCTACGGTCAGTCCAAACCCATTCTCTTATTTTTGTTCGCGACATTTCTTACAATCTTAGGTTTAGAACAGAAAAAAAAATCTTTTGCTTTGGAAGTTAATTGAAGCTTGAAATGTTGTTTTGAGCAGTGTATTTTAGTATTTTTCTGATGATGGAATGAATTGAGATTTTAGCTTTTTGATCGGAGCAGAATAGGAAAGTAAATGGTGATGGCGGTTTCAGTTTGATTACCGATTGAAAAAAAAAAAGGTTTTGGAACTTAATTGAAGTTCGAGATTCTGTTTCCAACAGCGTATTCTAGTATTTTTCTGATCAATTGACAATAAAACGAAGCAAGATTTTAACTTTTTGGTCGCAGTAGAATGGGGAGTAAATAAACGTTGATTTTGTTGTTCTTTGGGTCCTGCTATTTTTCGTCTCTTGGTTTTGAAGTGTTTTGAATGCTTTTATAAGAAATTTAAGTTGTGAAAGGTAAGAAATCAGATTTTTTTTTTTTGGGTAAAATTATAGTAGGCCGCTATACTGTTTCTTGTATGGGGATTTATTAAAATGGTTTAGTTACGATGCTCTCATCAGGCGTCACCTCTTAGGTTTTAGCTGCTCGTTTTCTCCAAAACTTAAAGACTTTGTAGAGATAGTTGTATTCACGGCAAATTGTAATTTGGGGAAGTCCAACTTGCAGGTCTAGAGGTAAAAGTAAACAAACGATCAGTCATCAAGGAAACATGTTGTGGGGTAGAGTGAAAACATATTGGTTTAAAAGGTTACAGATTTTAGAAAACATATATACTTACCACATATTACATTCAATTAAGTAATGTGTTTCATGCTTCAGACATCGGAGCCTGGTGGTTCCATGGTCTTGTGCGTTAGATTTTTGATTCTCTTCAGTGGATAAATAGTTAACAATACTCACTTATTGTTTCCCTTTCTTATTTTTACTTTTTCACTGAAAACAGGACTACGTGCCAACCGTGTTTGACAATTTTAGTGCCAATGTTGTTGTTGATGGAAGCACTGTCAACCTAGGATTATGGGATACTGCAGGTGACTATATGTCTATCCTTTTCAATTTACATGTTTGTTTCTGATTCAATGTCCCATCATCCCCAACCCCCTTTTTCTCTGTTTTTTGTTTCTGGGTTTCTATTAAGTATATGTTGAACAGGTCAGGAGGATTACAACAGATTAAGACCCTTGAGCTATCGAGGAGCTGATGTTTTTATACTTGCTTTCTCTCTCATAAGCAAGGCCAGCTATGAGAATGTTGCAAAGAAGGTGTTACTCTTTTTGACTAATATGTGTTACGGGTGATTTTGTTTTGTGTTTTTTTTTTTGCTCGACTATATTTGTGCCTGATAATTGATTTCTATCTCTTTCAATCGCAGTGGATTCCTGAACTAAGGCATTATGCTCCTGGTGTTCCAATAATTCTTGTTGGAACAAAGCTCGGTGAGAATTTTTTCCCAATGAAGTGTTTGTCATGTCTGTTGGCTTATTCTGCTCCTTTTTATATCTGAATCGTTTTGGATTAGCTTTTATCAAAGGACCGATGTGGATAACAAATTCCCTTTATTTGTATTTTTTCTTTGCTAAAATCAATTTAATGTTTACCTTAAGAAAAAATAGTTTAATGATTAATTAGATGCTTTAGGCTGGATTGTTTCCTGGCATTTCTGCATTAGATTTGCCATAACTTTTCAATGAGTCGGTTTGCTCAGCTTATGCCTTTTATTTGCAGATCTTCGAGATGATAAACAGTTTTTTGTTGACCATCCTGGTGCAGTGCCCATCACTACAACTCAGGTAAAGACTGCCTTTTTTCATGCTGCCTTGTCCCCAGTTGATTGTTTTAGTTCATTTATTAAATTTAAGGTATGTTTTGTTTTCTCCTTGAAGGGTGAGGAACTGAGGAAACTTATTGGAGCTCCTGCCTACATTGAGTGCAGTTCGAAAACACAGCAGGTATGTTTGCCCATTATATTCACGTTGTTTTTTTCTGCGGGAATTTGTTTTCTCCCCTCTGTATATTGACTGCTTTCTTCTCTTCTTGCACTGGCAGAATGTGAAGGCGGTTTTTGATGCAGCTATTAAGGTGGTACTCCAGCCACCAAAACAAAAGAAGAAGAAGAGAAAGGCTCAAAAGGCTTGCTCCATATTGTGATCAAGGGCAGAATTAGATTTGACCTAAAGTTACGATGACCTGCCAGCCTTTATTTGTCAGTCTGTATCGTTTACGTTCGCCAGCAGCGAGCCGTTGTGTATATTCTCGACTGACATTCTAGAGATTCATGTGAAAGATTTGGGATGTTTTGTTTTACTTTTTATTTTCTAGAGTGCGATTGATTAGAATTCCTTGTTAACAAATATGTACGCCTCTTTGAGTTTGTCTCATGTATTAACCAGTCACGAGCAAGATTCTTATTATCTTCCTTGGACAATTCATGATAGACTAAAAACTGTCTTCATTGTCTCTTTTTTTTAATTAATTATTTTTAAGCACTTTATCAACGGTAAAGGCAGAAAATTAGCTGTTCTTTGCGATTCCAAGCCAACCAACCACCAAGAAAGGAAGAGGAAAAAGAAAAAATAAATAAATAAAAACTATTACACTTATGGTATAATTCTAATGAGGAATGGTTCAATGACAATCATATTTCTTCTAGTGGTATCAAGGGCTTCTATGTTCTTGTTGTGAACTAACCAACTGTCTATAAACACTGCCGGTTTGGCCAACTAGCTCATCATGGCTTCCCACTTGAACCACCTTCCCCTGCTGCATAACCACAATGCAATCTGCATTCTGTATCGATGACAACCTGTGTGCGACCAAAATTGTAGTCCTGCGTTCCATCAGCATATCAGGTACCTCCTGAACCACCCTCTCTGATGCCACATCCAAAGCGCTTGTGGCTTCGTCCAAAAGCAGAATTGCAGGGTCCTTTAGTATTGCTCTGGCAATGGCCACTCTCTGTTTTTGTCCTCCTGAGAGCTGAACTCCTCTGTCCCCCCCCCCCCCCCCCCACTTGAGTTTTGCAACCCTCTGGCAATCTGCTTATGAAACCGTGAGCATTCGCTGCTCTGGCTGCTTTCATAACCTTGATTTCCGAGGCATCTTCTCTTCCATATTTGATGTTGTCATATATTGTGGTTGCAAACAGTGCTGGCTCTTGCTGAACCAAGCCTATCTTCTTCCTTAGTGATTTCAGGTCTAGGCTTTTGATGTCATACCCATCAATCAGTACTTGACCAATATTAGGGTCGTAGAATCTCATTACTAGTCCGATCATTGTGCTCTTTCCGGACCCACTTGGTCCAACCACTGCAAGACTCTTTCCTACCGAGACTTCTAAGTTCAAATCATCCAAAATGGTGATATCGGGTCTTTCAGGATAACTAAAACACACGTTCCTGAATTCTACATCTCCCCTGATATTACTGACTATATTTGATGTGGGGCTGTTGGGATGAATTGCTGTTTTCCTTCGGAGAATTCGTAAAACCGAGCCAAGTGCTTGGGACCCTTTCACAATGTCTGGAGTGAGGGCTAGAGTTTCTGCTATTGCCAAGGCTATGATTACGAGAACCATGAAGGATTTCATGATATCCCCAAAGTTTGATTCGTTTTTCTTGATTAAGATTGAGGCGTACCACAGGCCAAGCGCATAGGAGCAAAATGCAAAAAGCTGTGACAGGCCGTAGCCAAAACCCGATATGTGGCCTCTCAAAAATGCTTGGTTGGTTGGTTGGTTTAGTTCAGAGGCAAATTGTGTTGAGAGTCTCTCTTCAGCGCCAAATGCAGCTACAGTGCGTATATTGGCAATTGCTTCACGTGCCACAGCAGTTGCTTTGGAGTAGGCCTGGTTGTAGTCTCCTCCAAATCCCTTGAGAAAAAGTTGCTATACACATAAACAAGTCTGATTAGACGACCAATAGAGTAAGCTTAAAAACAATTGAACGAGGATTTAGTCAGTGACTTCGGTGATATTTTGTCTGCCACGCATATAATAGTTGCTTGAAATAGGTTTTTTTGGGGTGATGAGAATACTTACTTCCGTGATGGAAGCTCCAATAAGTAAAGGAAGCGAGGCAACGACAACAGCTGCAATACGCCAACTTAGTATGAAGGCAATGACAAAGGCTGTCACAGTGAGGGCTATGTTCTGCACAATTGTTGACAGACGGTCAGCTAGAGCACTTCTTACTAATGTAGCGTCTGCTGCTAGAATCGAAGTTAGAGAGCCAGTATTGTTCTCCTCTAAATCAAACCACCCCACTTCATTGGAAAGCATAGCTGCAGTTGCATCAAAAAAAATTTCCTTGAAAACGACGATAATGCGTTCTTTTAATTTGAGCTGAAAAATGCTAGTTATCATCAGTTTTTTTTTTTTTTTTTTTTTTTTTTTTTTTTTTTTTTTTTTTTTTTTCAAGTTAAAGATTACATATAAGGCTATGTGGGACTGTATCAAAATCGACGAGTCTTAAAGTTGACATGTGAATTCATGATTGGCTAAAATATGTGGAACATTAATAAGCATACCAGAGAACATCAACAAGCGAACACGAGAAGTCAGTCTTTCTCCCATTAATGTATAGAAATAGTGTTGGAGTAGTTAATCCAACAAATATGAGAGCCACACGTTGAACCTCTTGTTTGATTCGAGAGTCGTCAGAGGAATAAAAAGCACTTAAGACATGAGTTCTCCTTTCCTAATCTAATCTCATTAAGTCCTCTCGTTAACGCTCTAATTTGCATAATTTTTTTTTTATCCTATCTTTTTTTTTACTACGACAAAATCTCTTGTTCGACAAAAAGTCGATTTATATACAATAATCCCATTGTAGTGGGTATAGTTTAGTGATAAAAGTGTGATTCGTTCTATTAATTCCTTAATAGTTAAGGCCATTCCGGTGTGTTCAGTTTTACCAACTCACGTATTGCTGAAGCTTGATCAAAGCTTGGGGAGGACAGTTTTTCATGATCACTTTGCTCAAAGTCCCTTCTTGTATTTGAGTTAGAGTCTTCTTGATGGTGCTTACTATCCGAGAGTTCGCGGAAGCTGAGACTCCTTGAACTTTGGGAGCAAGACAAAGGGCTTAAAACTTTAGCTTGCCGTGAAACCTGCAAGCTCACAAGGGTTGCATACTCTCCTTCCTTGGATATCAATTCTGAATGAGTTCCACTCTCGAGAACCTCACCATTCTTCAGGACAATGATCGTATCCTGATAAGCACGTATAGAGTCTAAACAATTCCAGTAAATCAATTACTTGAATTATGCACAGCGAGTTACAACTCGAGCTCAGAAAACTGAATTAATGGCAGAAAAATTACAAAATCAATGACCTAGGTATGGGGGTGTTCGAGTGACCCCGTGCACTCCCAATTCCAAATTGTCTCAGGAAGTTCAAGATAATCCCAATGAATCCCCTCCCCTGCTATTTATACAATTCTTATTCCCGTAACTAACTTTCCCCCCTAAATCTACAGACCAACCACTCACTTGCCAGCTCTCTCATGACTTGTCAGCTTAGTTCCCTGCCCTGCCAACTCATCTCCCTGTCCAGAAATACCTCCCAGACTCATGTCTCCACTGCCATTCTCTGCATCAGCCACTCTCCTCTCCCGAGTCTTCCTCCTCACGTAGGTAAAACGCAAAGGAGGCTTATCATTACTCCCGCCTCAATTGTCCTCAAGGTGGAAATCAGGGAATTGACGTTCGATGGCCCCATAGGACTCCCAGGTTGCATCATGCGCCGGAAGATGCTCCCACTGGATTAAAACCTCAGACTCGGAATGCCCTCCTACCACACGCTGGCGCATTCCCAGAATAGCTGCTAGCGTGCCACACATCTCCAAATCTCCCGTCAACAGTGGCAGAACCGTAGACGCAAACTGGCCATTGCCAATCGCACGGCGAAGCTGAGAAACATGAAACACCGGATGAATGGCCGCCTCTTCCGGTAAGCAAAGTCGGTAAGCCACAGGCCCAACACGGGCAGCGACCGGAAAAGGGTCATAGAACCGCAGACTTAACTTCTCATTGCGGCGTCGAGCCAAGGATACCTGACGGTAAGGGCGCAACTTAAGGTACACTAAATCTCCAATCTCAAACTGCACATCACGGCATTTCCCATCAGCCACCGATTTCATTTGCTGCTGAGCACGAAACAAATGAGACTTGAGTAAGTTTAGCATGGCATCCCTATCCTGTAACCGCCGGTCCACAGAATCCACCAAGGAAGTTCCAACCCCATAGCGCAGCAACGGAGGTGGAGCACGGCCGTAGACCACCTGAAACGGAGTGGTACGCGCTGTCGTATGAAAAGAGGTATTATACCAATATTCCGACCAAGCCAACCACTTATACCATTTGCCGGGTCTTTCCCATGTAAAACAGCGCAAATAGGTTTCGACACATCTATTCACGACCTCTGTTTGTCCATCCGTCTGCGGATGGTAAGCGGTGCTGCGCGCGAGAGTAGTCCCCATGTGCTTGTGAAGTTCGGTCCAAAAGTGACTCAGGAATATCCGGTCTCGGTCGGACACAATCGTCCGTGGAACTCCATGGAGGCGCACAACCTCGCGGATGAAACTCCTAGCCACCAACTCAGTTGTGAACGGATGTTTCAAGGCAATGAAATGTCCATATTTGCTAAGCCTGTCCACAACAACCAAAATAGTAGCGTATCCCTCCGAACGAGGCAATCCCTCTATAAAATCCATCAAAATGTCCTCCCACACTTGTTTGGGAATAGGCAGAGGTTGCAATAGGCCACTAGGTGCTAACGTAGAGGCCTTGCAACGTTGGCATACGTCACATGCAGCCACATACGAAGTCAGATCCTTTTTTTTTCCGGACCAAAACTAGTCCGTTGCCAAACATCGGTAAGTCTTAAGAACTCCAGAATGGCCTCCAAGAACCCCATCATGGTACGAATGAAGTAGTTTAGGAATGAAAGACGAACCCCGGGGAACCACCATTTTGCCCTCAAACATCAGCCGCCCCTGTTCAAAGGAAAAACCAAGGTGCGCGTCGGACTGGAGCTGTAAATCCGAAATGATTTGGCTGAGCTTCTCGTCCTGCAACACCTGGCTCTGCAACTCTTGTGTGTCCACAATGGAAGAGACCAACATAGCACTTAGTCCGGGTGAGTAAACAACCCGAGATAGCGCATCTGCAGCTCAGTTTTCCTGCCCGGGCTTGAACTAGATTTCAAGATCATATCCCATCAACTTTGTAAGCCACTTTTGGTGCTCCACACTAACCAGGCGTTGTTCCAGCAAGTACTTAAGACTTCACTGGTCAGTACGGATCAAAAAATGACGGCCGAGCAAGTAAGGACGCCATTTTTGCACCGCCAGCACAATGGCCATAAGCTCTCTTTCATACACTGATTTCCCTTGAGCTCGCAGAGATAGAGCCTGGCTAAAATATGCAATGGGCCGCTGATCCTGCATCAACACTGCCCCCACTCCATACCCCGAGGCATCAGTTTCTATCACAAATGGTTTCGAGAAATCCGGGAGAGCTAACACGGGCACGAACGTCATAGCATGTTTCAAATGAGAAAAAGCTAGTGCGGCCTCTTCTGTCCATTGAAACCCATCCTTCCGCAACAGATTTGTTAGGGGACCTGTAATGTGACTGTACCCTGCGACAAACTTACGGTAATAACCCGTCAAACCCAAGAATCCTCGCAAATCACGTACCGTAGTCGGGGTTGGCCAATTCAGCATTGCCTCAATTTTTGCCAGATCCGCTGACATGCCCCTGCCGGAAACGATGTGTCCCAAGTACTCCAAGGACTGCTGGCTGAAGCTACACTTCTTCCCATTTGCAAACAATTGGTGCTGCTACAACACCCCTAACACTTGATCCAAGTGGTAAACATGCTCCTCCAAAGTTCGGCTGTATACAAGTATATCATCGAAAAAAACCAAAACGAACTTTCGAAGGAAAACTCGCAACACCTCATTCATGAGGGACTGGAATGTTGCCGGAGCATTGGTAAGCCCGAATGGCATCACCAAAAACTCGTAATGACTCTCATGAGTGCGGAAAGCGGTTTTGGGCACGTCCTCCGGTTTGACTCGGATTTGGTGATACCTCGATTTAAGGTCAATCTTAGAAAAGATTGCTGCCCCGTGAAGCTCATCGAGGAGTTCATCAATTATCGGAATAGGGAAACGATCCGGTACCATCTCCTTGTTTAAAGCCCTGTAATCCACACAAAATCTCCAACTTCCATCATTCTTCTTAACCAAGAGGACGGGGCTAGAATAAGGACTCACACTTGCCCGGATAATCCCTGTAGCCAACATTTCCCCCACCAATTTTCAATTTCCTCCTTCTAGACTTGAGGATATCGATATGGCCGTACATTAATCGGGGAGGTCCCTGCCTTTAATACTATCGCATGATCCTTCGCCCGCTCCGGAGGTAACCCAGCAGGCATCTCAAACACTGAAAATCTTCGGTGTAATACCTCCTCCAATTCCACCGGTACCACAAAATCTCTTTCCCGAACACTCAACTCTAAATTATTCCATTCCAACCACAACCCCTGTCCTTCCTGGCTAAAGGCTCTATGTAAAGCCTTTAAAGACATCGAAGTCTTATTCAAGCCAGGGTCCCCTTTCAAAGTCACCTGTCGATTTCCCACCGTGAACTTCATGGACAGATTCTTCCAATTCACCGTCGTAACCCCCAAAGTCTCCAGCCACTGAATGCCCAGAATCATGTCCGAGCTTCCAAACTCCAAAGGTAAAAAATCTTCTACAATCTCTATTTTCTGCAAGGTGATCATGACCCCTCTACACACACCCTCACCCTTGACAGATAACCCAGTCCCCATAACCACACCATAATCACAAGTTCGGTCGACTGGTAATTCCAATTTCCTAACTAAATCAACATAAACGAAATTATGTGTGGCACCACTATCAATCAAAACTATTACCTCTCGTCCCCGCAACATCCCTTTGAGTTTCATGGTTTTCGGAGATGTTAATCCAACCACCGAATTGAGGGATAGCTAGACCACTTCCTCCTCCACCTCCGTCTCTGCTCCGTATTCTTTTTCCCCTGCACCTTCCTCCTCTTCCTGGACGATGAGCACCTGCAACTCCCGGTTGGGACACCGGTGACCAAAAGAGTACTTCCCATCGCAACGGTAGCACAGGCCCTTCTCCCTCTTCGCCTGAAGCTCTGCATCCGTAAGTCTCTGAAACGGCGCCGTCCTGTTGGCCGTGTCCCTGGGCTTTTCAGTCGCCACCGATGAACGTCCCACCGCCACAGCCGAGGTAGTGTTCCTTGGTCCTCTACTGAAAGACTGATTAATCCTCAGCCCAATCCCATACATAACCGAACCTCCTCTGGACCAAGAATTAAGTGGAGTTGTTTGGGCGTTGGGCCCGCGAACCAGCAGATTACGCTCCTCCACCCGTTGGGCGAGCTCTATGATCCGGCCCAGCGCGTTGGGTTTCAGCATACGTATCTCAGCTCTCACCTTTGGCTTGAGTCCATTCACGAATGCACTCTCCAACACTTGCTCTGAAACCTCTGTTAACGGCGCAACCAAGGTTTCAAACTGCCGGCGGTACTCCCTCACCATGGTCTCCTGGTGCAAAGACAGAAACTTCTCACAGAGAGTTTCCTCTTGAGTCGAACGAAATCGTTCCAAAACCATCCGTTTCATCTCTGTCCAATCACGGATCGCCCACCTCCGGTCTTCCCACTGGAACCAGGCTAGGGCTTTTCCTTCGAGGCTCACCACCGCCACGTCCAGTTTCTCCATCTCCGTCAACCTATTCATGGAGAAAAATCTCTCAGCCCTAAATATCCAACCATCTGGATTATCGCCGTCGAAAACCGGCATCTCCACTCTCCGAGTACGAAATTCGGCACGAGCTCCTCCCTCCCGCCAATCCGTCAGTCTCTCTCCTATTTCCGCCATCGGATCCGACTGTTCCTTCGGAATTCTGTTCCCCACCGCCGGAGACTCTCGATCTGTGGAATTCCGCTGTTTCAGCAACTCATCCATCCTCATAAGCAACAATTCCAGACCTTGCTCCAATCAAGGTATTTTTCCAACATCCTCGCGCATTGATTCCATTTCTTTCAACAAATCCTCTCTACTTGCCTCCGTCCTATCCTTGTCGCGATCATCCGTCCTCCTCGTCATCCCGGGAAAGTGCTCTAATACCAATTGATAAGCACGTATAGAATCTAAACAATTCCAGTAAATCAATTACTTGAATTATGCACAACGAGTTACAACTCGAGCTCGGAAAACTGAATTAATGGCAGAAAAATTACAAAATCAATGACCTAGGTATGGGGGTGTTCGAGTGACCCAGTGCACTCCCAATTCCAAATTGTCTCAGGAAGTTCAAGATAATCCCAATGAATCCCCTCCCCTGCTATTTATACAATTCCTATTCCCGTAACTAACTTTCCCCCCTAAATCTACAGACCAACCACTCACTTGCCAGCTCTCTCATGACTTGCCAGCTCAGCTCCCTGCCCTGCCAACTCATCTCCCTGTCCAGAAATACCTCCCAGACTCATGTCTCCACTGCCATTCTCTGCATCAGCCACTCTCCTCTCCCGAGTCTTCCTCCTCACGTAGGTAAAACGCAAAGGAGGCTTATCATATCCACGTCTCGGATGGTGGAAAGTCGATGAGCAACAATGATTGTAGTTCTGTTTGACCTGATTTTGTCTAGTGCCTGCTGAACAATTAGTTCAGATTCGGCATCAAGAGCACTGGTTGCCTCATCTAGGAGTAATATCTTTGGGTTTGTCAGCACTGCTCTTGCAATAGCAATTCTTTGTTTTTGCCCACCTGAAAGCTGAGTTCCTCCTTCTCCCACCTGAAACAAAAGTGCATCTTCATGTATTCATATGTCAAAAATAGTCCATATGCTAAATGCCAAATATTCTTAGTAAAGATCATGACAAGGCTCACCTGAGTATAGTAACCATTAGGTAGCTCTTCAATAAAAGAATGAGCATTTGCAGCTTTGGCAGCTTCAATAATCCAATCCATGTTTGCGTCTTCTTTACCGAAGAAAATATTGTCAATTATCGTAGTGGCAAAAAGTGCTGGTTCTTGGCTAACCAATCCCATCTGTTCTCTCAGCCATTTCAACTGCAGAGTTTTAAGATCATGTCCATCCAATAAAATTTTACCTGGAAAAAAAAATTAGCTCTTAAACCATGTATAAGCTCTTAAAGTAGTTAAATCAAATCATTTTGTAGTGGTATATTTGGCTACCTGAAGTAGGTTCATAGAAGCGTTCAACCATGGACATAATAGTGCTCTTTCCTGAACCACTAGGGCCCACCACTGCAAAAGTCTTACCAGAGCTAATTGCAAAGCTCAAGTTTTGAAAAACCATATCCGGTCTTGATGGATAGGCCAAACAGACCTCACAAAACTCAATTTTACCAGATACTGTTGGAATCAAAATTCCACTATCTGATCTATCAGAAGAGTTGGCATCTGTTTCAATCATGCTCAAGATATTGCCACCAGCAGCTCGACCTTTAGCGATGGCGGCGAGGTTTGGAGCCGCTTAACCAAGAGCACTAGAAACGGAAAGGGGCTTCAGTAATTCAGAAAAAATTAGAGTAAAAAAGTACATCTTGAGACTTGACTTACAAGCCACTAAATATGACGTTGATAATTGTTGTGAATGCTTTTCCTCCATTTGTTTGTCCATGTCTAACAAGTATGCCAGCATACCATATAAGCAATGCCCAAGCACAGAACAATAGGCCATAAGTAAAGCCTACACCAATTCCTTTTGCAAACCCACTCTTCTTACCAAATTTGAGGGCCTTATTAAGTGACATGGAGTATGCTTCAATTGCTCTATCCTCCCCTACAAATGAGTACACTGTTCGAACTTGCGAAAGAGCCTATCCATACAAAGGCAAAGAGACAAAAAAAAATGCAACAAATGCAGCCCAAAAGACTCATCATGAACAACAAAGATGATGACATGCTCTGAATTTGCGCGATTATCAAGCAAAACATGTTTATAGAGACTTAATAATTAGTGTTGTTTACAGCTTTGTACATTACCTCTTCTGCGACTTTTCCAGCTTCGGCATAGGCAGCCTCTCCTTTTTCTGACAATGTAGACATAATTACAGTATAAGCTCCTCCTGCCATAGCAATCAATGGTACAACAGCTAAGGTGAGAAGCGTAAGCTGCCAAACGGATGCAAATCCGATGGCAAACCCGACAATAAACTGTGAAAGGTAATGCAAAGCATGGCCTGTCTGCATTAAGATAGAAAGCATTGGATTAAATTTGTACCCTCTTCTACATTTTGTTTGTTGTAAACAATATTAAGCATAATGGTTTTCTTTAGGTAATGTTACTTTGTCTCCTATAGCATCTTGAACTAGAATTGCATCACTTGATATGTGGAAAAGGATGTTAGCATCTCTGGCTTCAGTGTCGAAGAAACTAATATCCTTCTTTAAAATTGACTCGAGATACTTCACTCGCAACTGAGCAGTCAGCCTCTCCCCCCGTCTGCATCCACGATGCCACACCTGAAATCAAGCCGTCAAAAGGAATGTTCTGATTCTCAAATTCGGCAAAAGGAAGCAAACGATCAAACATTGTTTGTTGTAGTACCTATCCACGCTGAGGCCATTACTATTAGTCCAAGATATATCAAGTACAAAGCATTCTGCATTAAGAGAAATTTCAGAAGACAATTTTCTATCAAACCTTTCATTTGAAAAGTCCAATGAGAAAATTCCAAAACAGAACAACATAGGAAATCATTAACTGAAAAGAAGAAGAAGAAGAAGAAGAAGAAGAAGAAAGAAATGATGTGATGACGACTAGAATGTACCTCTGAAACGTGCGAAGATAATTGACGGGGATTCTTAAATAAATTTCCCAAAGAATCAATCATACGACCAAACAAAACAAAGAAAACAGGAAGTGCAGCCCCATGGGCGCACGTCCCAACACTTCCAAAGAACATAAGCACATAGTCAACTCTATCAGCACCACTAAACAAACCAAAAAACGAAGCAGTGCTTTTCTGGCTTGCTGTTTGCTCCATTTTGGGAAGTGGGTTCTGCTCCGAAACCTCATTGGTGGCAAGCTCTACTGATCAAATTAAATGGAAACAAGGCATGAAAAACTGGAAAGTCTTCACGGATATCTCAAGGAGTCAAGGACTAAAAGCAATGAGCAATCAGTTTCATGCCAATAAATGTAAAAGCTTGAACTGGTTTCGGTTGGCCAACCAACAAAAAGACTTGGCTCCTTTAACTACCATTTAAAATTCATGGAACACATAAGATGCGCAAGTTAGCATGACGATCTCTCTATATAATAGATTTTGAGACATATTAGCCCCTGTAATTAATATTAAAGCCAACGACCTTCTTCGCCGTCTCTGTAGCTTTGCCTGAGCTGTTGAATTGGATTAATAATTTGACAGATTATTTATTTGGGATCCCAACTATGGACTTTCTTGTGTAGCAAGGGACCACCGTGGTTGGAATGAAAGATGTTTGATTAATAACTTTTCTTCGTTTTTTTTTTCCTTTTCTCCAATCAAGCATTGGATTTAACAAAAACAAAACAAAAAATGAAAATGACACTTGCAAGTTGCAACGCAACAACACTCAAGCTCACACACACAGAGATTGCATATAATTTTCTCAGGAATTCATTTATGTTTTGTCATCTTGAGTTCAGCCACTTTTTTACAAGATTGGTGCCTTAAAGTTTCCAAGCAATGTGATTATTGTGAGACCTGTTTTGTGACCTTAAATGATAGCATTAGTATTTAACGTCATACCACATCTATATACTGAAACGACAATCAATTATCACTGACAAAAATTCAAATCTAATCGAATTACTTAATTACGGATTAAAGTAGTCTGATCAGTAAAATTTTGAGGAATTGTTCGACTTGCCAGTGGCATAAATTAATCCCTTCCAGTTGCTATAGTACTGCAGCCCAGTGCCACCAAATGGGAAGGTACGCTCATTGAAAGAGGTGACTTGGGCCTCCTTCCTTGGGATCATAGGTCTAGCAAAAAACATCTTGCCTGCTCCTTCCTCGTGAAAGCCCCAAACTAAAGTCTAATGTTAAACTGAGAAAAACCATAAATACCGCTCAATATTATAAAAAATAATGAAGGAAAGCCCCAAACTAAAGTCTAATGTTAAACTGAGAAGAACCATAAATACCGCTCAATATTATAAAAAATAATGAATGTATTTGGAATTCGTTTCAAAATGATTTTATTTTCTGTATGAAAATGAAAATGAAATGTTTTCATTTCTATTTTATAATCATTTTTAAAAATGCGTTTGGTAGTTTTATTCCGATATTATTTTCAGTTTAAAAAAAACTGAAACTGCATTTGGTAGTTTAATTTTTAAAAACATGTAATAATATTTATAATAATAATATATTAAATAAATAATAATTGAATCTCAAATAAAAACACTAATAATTAATATAATAATTTAAATTACATTACAAATGAATAGAAAATAATTTAAAAATAAGATAACTTAGTGAATGATTAGTAAAAAAACGTTTATTTAGTGAATAATCTTAGCTTATATTACTGCCGTATGTACGAATCACACATTTGATCAGCTAGATGATCCCTAAAACTAACCATGTGATTACGTTATAGCCGACTACCCATTTCAGATGTTTCTGCTTCTTGTGTGTCCATATTTTGTTGTTGTCCTTCTTGTTCTCCCTTGATATCTTCTAAGGGCAAATCGACATCATATTGTCTAAATAGATGAACATCTCGCACGTGCATCTTAATTAAATTATGGATCACACAAGAAGCAATTGGTATAAGCGATTGTCTTGGCATCCAATAATTGGTCATAAAGAATTTTAAACCTTACTTTCAAGACCCCAAAGCACCTTTCTATGCAATTACGCAGTAAAGAGTGATAATAATTGAATAACTTTGTGGTTCCGTTGGTTGGCCACCATTTCTAAACTGTTGAATATGGTCTGACCATGAAATGGTGCTAAAAAGCCTTGCGTGTTGTTGTAACCAGAATCCACAACGTAATATTTTAGGTTGGGTGGCACCAAGAATTAATTCTCTGGATCTCTCATAGTCTCAGTTAACACTCTAGCATCAGCAGTTGATCCTTCCCATCCAGTATTGACGTAAGTGAATAACATATCGAAACTACACGCCGCCATTATATTTTGAGTACACGAATGACTTCTTCCTTTATAGACTGTCTGTTGATGTGCAGGTGGGACAACCATTATGTGCGTACCGTCTATTGCACCAATACAATCCTATTAAAATATATAAGGCGTGAGTTAGGATTAATTTAAAATTATTTATCATATTTTTAGTTTATGAGCAGAGTTAGATTGTACCTTAAACAATGGCCAGTACTTAGTGTTGTATCGAATCTCTGGGGGGACGATGTTCATATTTGGTACTTTTATAACTTCAAGTGCTAACGCAGACAATGCAGTAAGCACATTAGCAAAATGCCGGTGTACTGTCTCTCCAGAATGAGAAAATATATCTTGTATCTCTCTATTTCGGTCTGAGTGAGCAATCATTCTTAAGAACATCATTAGTGATTCCTCTGCTGATATACTTGAAAAAGGCAGTAGGTTGCGGTCTTGAATTAACTGAACAATTGCTTCGAACGTGTCTCGATGCATATGACACATTTCAAACAGATTTTTAGGATGTCCATATAATTGTTCTAAAACATATTCTTGTCCTGTTAATGTAGAATTATGACGAGGTTGCCTAGGTGGTCTGTTTGTAAGCGACATCAGTAATTGGATAGAAATTTGTGACTCTTCATCATCATCTGATGAGTGCAGAAAGTCAACAATAGGGACATCATCCTCACTATTTGCGGCATCAGAATCTATATTAACCTAAAAAAGAAACATGACTGGAACTAATTAAACATCCATATAGCATTAACTAATCAAATAAAGAACTCCAATGTAATTCTAGAAACAAATAATAAAGTCTAACAAACACAAGTCCGAGAGGAAAATCTGTTCACCATGTTCAATAATACTTTAAAAAAAAGCACAAGTCTGAGAGGAAACAAATAAAGAAAACATCACAAATAAAAATAATCTAAATTACAGGCTTTGAATCCATGAAAGATGAAGGCATTTTCACAAACATCCTCTTAAAGGAAATGTTAACAACCAACTTCTATGCTGCCTTATTATATGTATCGTTGTCTAAGTACTCCTCATACCCATTCCGTAAATTTATACAGGTTTCAATACTTGTAGTTGGATCCTCTTTCTGAGCCTCGACTGCTGCCATAGTACGGGCTTGCCTATCAGCTAAATATTGCTGGAAAAAAACAAATTTTTGAACATATGTCTCACTGCGTAGGGTGGCACTCTTTGCCAAAGCCTCTATAGCATCTTCAATTGCAGCATTCTTCTTGCCCTTTTTCTTGGATCGAGTTATAGGACCTTGAGACCATCTACTTCTATTGACTTCTGCACACCGGACTTCATCCGAGTCCCCTGTACCCTCATCCTCCTCTTCTGGTTGTGTGGCAGCCCTTTTCGCCGCATTCAAAACATTGATGACTTTATGTACATTCATTGACCCCTGTCTAATCTTGAAACTTTCTAGGTGTCCATGACTGATCTATGCCCGGAATAACTTCCTGATCAGTTAAGAATTTCTAGAGTCAGGTTGCTTTTCTTTTGCTGCTTCACAAGCTGCAACACATTAACTCTTAATGATAGAATTAGCAATCACACTTTGCCAACAACCTTTCGTATCATGACTCATTTGCCTAGTGTGAACACATATTTAGATGTTGACTCTCAAAATCCATGCATGACTCATAGTCAAAGTCTGTGTATCCAGCTAAAGACAACTCTTTTACTGACTAAACTATCTTATAGTTTCTTGTTTTCCTCATTCACTTAAGGATACACTACACGGCTACCTAATGATCGAATCTTGAGTTCAACTGACAACGTCTGACTACTCCCACTGAATATCATATATCCGGCCTTGTTAAGAATAAGAACATCTTCTTTTCTTTTGTTTGACATATCTTAGTTTTGATCAAATCCATAAGGCTTAATAGCCTTATCACACTGGATGTTCCATGATCTAGAAGCTTACTTCAATCCATAAATGGATCTCTACAGCTTGTTGACTTTCTGCTCTAGGCCTTTCTCTATGTAACTCTCTAGCTGATCGATATAGATGGTTTCCTCAAGATAGCTATTCAGAAAAGCTGTCTTGACATCCATCTGTCATATCTCATATTCAAAATATGTTGTTATGGCTAAGAGTATTCGGATGGACTTAAGCATGGCCATGTTGGGAATAGTGCCCTAGAAGCATAAGATGTAATAGGTATTTATTATTTCAAGAATAAAAGAGTTTATTCATCATTTTATGTGCATATATTTATGAATATTTTATGAATATCAAATGAAAATTCCGTGATTATTTATGTAACCTTAAACATAGTATATAAGTGTTATATACGAGAGGATAATGTTTAAGAATAATAATAATAAACATTGTTCATAATGAATTTAATTAAAGTTCAGAATCTTTAATTAAAACATTATTAATACATGTCATTCCCATTTAGAATGGAACAGTGCTATCCGCACTGTTAATATGGTGAGATATTGAATGAGTGTATTTTGCATAATGAGATTGTGTGGAACAGGGACACAGACACAATATGAATTTCTAATAATTTCTATTAAGCATAGAAATTCTAATTGAGTCTACCGATGGTCATATATAGAATGATCTTAATCCTGAGTTCTTAACAAACTCCTATTTATGGATTTATGTCTTTCGATTTACTCGGTACGGATTCTGAGACCCTGAATCCTATTCCTTGTATTTTGAGATAGGTAGCTGGGAATGTTATTATACGAGATGGAATCCATTCCTTCTTGAGAAAAAAGTAGATAAATAATTCTCTTGAGTGTTGATTCGGTACTTAGATTAGTAAGAGCGCTTTGGTTCATGAATGTGTTTTATGAATCACTATCCATTAGAGAATCAATGATACTCAAGGATGAAGATATAATTAGAGAGGTTAATGGATTCTACCTGACTCTAATTA